AAAAAGGCAATGAAAATTAGGATGCCAGAAAATTTCAACACCTCGGACGAACATAATTTCAAGTTACAGCTAATTCAAAAAAGGTTGTCCTTTGCAAACCTTCAACTCTAAACCTTAAACCTTAAACTCTAAGCACGCAAAGCATATTGGGAACATCATTTAATCAGTTTAGAAATTATTTATGGGGCCCATTTCTTAGAGATGGAATGTTATGAGAACAATTCATTCACAAATAGCTGCAATATTCAACTACTAAAGCTTGAAACTTGTGCTCCCATTAAGCTTTGCGCGCTTAGAGTTTAAGGTTTAAGGTTCGGAATTTAAGGTTTGCAAAGGACAACCTTTTTTGAATTAGCTGTATATATTAGTCACTATGCGGGACCTATCATCCGAAAATTTAGATGAATGGATTTCAGAATTTCAAGATGTTAACCATTTTCATTTGAAGCCGAAAAGCTAAAAAAAGGCGCAATCAATGCTCGATACAAAATTACCACCGAAGCCAGTACAACACGCGTGTTTCGCGTGGTGACTATCTCATTTCATATTCACCGAATATGACGCACACAGTGAGCGGATTCTTACTGATGACCTTGGCGGTTTACGTAACGGAAAACTGGTATGTTTGGTTCTGCTGTGAAACTGTTTTGGTTTTCTTATATCATATAGGAGAACCGCCGAAATCAGTTGACAGTGACTACAATTCAAGTAATGAACTACCCAGTCCTGAAAGTAGTAAATCACAAAAACGTGTCGAGAGACATGATTTGATTCCATCTGGTACATCATTAGATACTTCCTCTCTCGAGACAAGTGGCTCGCCTATCTCAGCAGAACAAGTTGCGCTGTGTTTACTGGAGAAAGTTGCTTCAAGGAAAAACTTAACTTCAGCAGATTTAAAATGGATGGTATCTGAACATGATGTACCACAAAGTTTATTACCTTTACCTACTGCTATTCCTGTGTCACCTGATGATGAGTTGTATGACACAACTGAACACTTTGATAGAAGAACATCTTTACCTGTAAGTAATGGATGTTTATGGTGTGCAATCTTGCACGGTCGGTCCAGAGTAGGTAGCCCCCTTACGGAAATTTCACATGTGAAATCCAGGGGGTACAAGGAGATGCGCCCCCCCTAATGGTATCTAGCACCCCCTTGAAGGTGGTATTCCATATTTGAGTTGTGAATACTACTTATTATATTGAAACGATTGATTGATTTTCGAATACGCGAGAAAATATTCAAGCACTAAAAAACGTAGCACTATATAGCGGGTCACCATATAACGTAGCTTTTCTTAATTTTCACATGAAATACGAGTACTGTGAGTAATACGTAGTGCTTTGAGTAATACGTAGTGCTCAGCGTGTAGGAAATGGCATTTCAAGGACTTCCAATTTCAAACATTTTCTGCGAGACAATGACCCTAGATCCCATAGTAATGCTCTCCCTCTGGAAAACCTCCTCCCCCTCTAACAAATGAGGCCAGATCCGCCCCTGGTGAAATCCACATTTTCAAACGTGAAATCGATTTTACATGTGAAATCAACGTGTGGAATTGGAACACTTCACATGTGAAATGGATTTCACATGTGAAGCTTTCATATGTGAAAGTGTGAAACAGAAACTTGTGTCCGGGGAAATTTGATAAATTATTAAGACGGAAAGTCTTTTGTTAAATGTGTGTCTTTTTTGTTGTTTTTAAGTGTCGCCTAAGAGGAAATCTCGAATGGGCTCCTCCAAGACAGCAGATTATTTTTAGCATTCCATCAAATCCAAAGTAAGCTTGTGTTCATCTCGGCATTTACAGTATATCTGTTTGGTTCTGTAAGTACGAAAACGAACATCTATCCACCCAAGGACGAAAAAGTTTTTGTGACCACACTTTATTTTTCTAGACGAAAAGAAACGATGACAAAGCAGGGATATCGCTGTGCTGGGTGCGGTATGCGTATTGATCCAGGTAAACTATATAAAAATATTGCTGGTAGAAGGAATTTTCGAGCTATACTGTAGAAACTAAAATGCCACGACTGTACACGTCATCGACCTCGATCTTAAAAGAAACTATTTGACCTTCGCCAGAGAACTTATATCCCGCAATTCGGGTGACTACAAGCTCTACTGTGTCCAGTTGCCCAAAATTTAGAAGTGATGAGAACGTGTAGCTCAGGTGGTAGAGCATCGATCTATAGTAATTCGAAGGTCGTGGGTATGAAACCATGCAGCCTCTTACTCTTCAGAAATAAGCTACATTATCTTTACAGACAAAAGCTAGAAGTCGAATATATACTCCCACATAAAACTAATTAGGTGTTGTACTATAACATTTTTGTACAGTATTTGATTTAGATAACAACTGTAACATTTTATTCTGTAAAATTTTAAATGGGAGGTAGATATCAATTGGGACTTTTGTCCTGGTTGTGTCTCCTGTTTGCTACTTACTGTGGTGACAAATTACATTAAACATTAAACATAAAATAATATAACCATATACTGATATACCTATTATACTCCCAATGCATGTGTGAAGATAAAGATTAGAATTGTTTTGTTTTTTTGATCATGTAGGCTACATGAAGAGATTCCGCTACTGTAACTATTTAGGAAAGTATTTCTGCAACACTTGTCATTGTTCAAAACCGACAGTCATTCCTGCTCGTATTATTCAAAGATGGGATTTCAAAGAATATCCTTTTAATTTAAAAGTAAAAAGTATTTATAAATTTTAGTAATTTTGTTTACGCAGAAGTGAGAAAACAGGAAATAGCAAATTTGGAACCATGTCCTATAAAGTTTTTAAACAGATTGTTCGGATGCTTGTGAATTTTAGAAGCTATACTGAATAGAAAGTAGTCTGTTTCTGTATGTTTATTTCTTTAATTTTTTCGTTGTTAAAATACTTACCAGTCAGGGTCCGGTTGTACTAAAGCCTGATAACGCTATCCACAGTATCATAGTGATTTACTCAAACTTTCTAAAATTGTTCGTTGGTTGGTATAACCTGGATTAAGCTCAGGATTAAACTTTAGTATTTATAACTTTATTTTGTTTATTTATAACAGTATTTGTTAACTTTGAAAAAACACTACCAAGTGGCAAGTGGATAGCCCTGACCAACCTTCGTATACAACCGAGTCCTAGTTGCTATCCAGCTTTTCCTGTCGTCTCCAAAACCCGATTCATTACACATTGTAAATATTGTCCTTAACAAAGTTTACATATGAAGTATCTAATTTCGCTCGAGATTTGCTTAGCAGAGTTCACAATGATCCGCTATTCAATATTCAGGCTATCAACAAGACACTGTATAAAAAAGTGAAAGAAGTGGATGATGTTAAGGTTTGGGGATTGAAACTGTTTTAAAATATACATATATGTGCCTTATTCACTGGGCGGAGGTCCGCTATAGGATCATTACACGTGAAATTTTTTTCAAATCTCTTACTATGGAAATAGTATAGATCTGCGTTTGAAATAGCATGGAATTCCAATTTTCATACTAATTGCAATTTCCATACTATATAGACATGTAGTATGGATATACTATGGATTTAGTAGTACAATAGCAAATTTATATGGATTTACATAGTATAGGGGTTTCACAATTGTTTTGCAGTGTTAGTCGAGTTCTGTATACACGATATTATAGTGTACCTTATACTGTCTGGACTGAACAAGCTCGGTCGATAAGTTATTTATTATATGGCTAAATTAAAAACAAGAACATTCTTCGAAAAACAATGTTTATAAATTAGGTCGAGAATTAAGTTGTTTAAGACACAATTTGAAAATTCAAAAATGCAGGATACCGGTATTCAATTTTTGACAAAGATAATAAATCAATAGCAAGATATTTTCGATATAGTTGCTACAACAATATATTGTTGTCCACCAACCGCATCCAGGTGCTCAAATTACGTTATTGTTATTTTACAATTGTTCAAAATACTGCGGTTGTAAGCTTACTGAGGTCGGAAACTTACAATTAGTTGAACTGAAGCAATCGTTAAAGCTTTTGTTTCTTTAAGTGACAATGCGCCCTGATGCTCCCACATTATTATTCTACTCCACTTTATTATTATGCCCCCCCCCCCGCGCTTAATTATTTTTCTCCAACGTCCAACCCCATAGAGATTTTACTTGTCAAACAAGTCAATATCTGTACTTTCATTTTTTTGTATTTTGTTTTAGTATTTGCGTCTTCAACTTCACCACCTGGCGTCATTTTTACGAACTTGTCGATATGCTGTAAAGTAAGATTTGATCTTAAATAAATTCTTCGAAGCGCATTGCATTTGTAAAAGGCTTAAAGGACTATATCCCATGTTTTTCATTAATATAATATACATCATAATATAATATAGTTCATCTAATATACTAGCCATTAATTGCCATGGCCAAAAAAGGTATTTTACTTACGGCACTCCTGCGTTGACGACTTTGCTGCATGTGTACGACCTGTGTGAAAGGAAACGGGCTAAAGGCTATTTTTCACTTCAACTGTATCGTGCCGAAGCGTAGCATGTTTCTTTGTTAGTATAATTCTATAATATACATAAAAATATTACTCGACTGTGATTGGTTGATTTCAATGCAGTTAATCTCAAGCAAAATCTGTAAAAAAAAAAAACAAACATGGCGGCCGTGCTACATGAGTAAAAGTTGAGTTCGGGTGGAAAATATGCATGGCTTTTATCGGGAGGTTTTAACTACAATTGTCTCGAATATTTTTTATGTTTATTATCAATACGCAATAGGACGATTTCTCGTGAAATTTGGATAAAACAAGCACTCGTGAGTTTTTCAAAGACTTCAAATAGCACTCGTCCTTCGGACTTGTGCTATTTGGATCAGGGGTGTATATTCTTCAATGACCTTTGATTTCTCCCCCCCCCCCTCTCTTCAGCTTTGATTTTCTTCCCTGTATCTTGAAGAAATTTGGGCGCGGCATCGGAGTCTGGGCTCCACCTTTACTATTCCAGTAATTTCCTACGATTTAAAGAATTATTTTCGCCGAAACGTTTGGTTCAAGGTAGAAAAATGATGTTACAATGCTGATTTTGACAACAAATTGTTCAGTTTATTTAGAACTTCTGCATCTCAATGATAAACAGCACAACAAAATAATTGATTATTGATATATTAACTAGAGATGTTCGCATTAAAAAGTACTCCTCTCTCTAAATTACGTTCATTTTTTAACAAACGTTTTTAGATTCACAAACAATATATATTAACTTTTTTAAAATTTTGATTTAAATATTGACATTACGTTCCAATTCCCCTTCCTCTTGCCATAAAAAGTCATACTTCATCTATACCCCTCCTCTCCTTGCTGACATAATATGAGACTGATCCCCAAGTTTTCTCAGTTCTTTTTCATTCTCATCCCTTGTCCTTTCTCTTCTTTTCCTTTTGCCCCCTCATTTTCCTTTTGCCCTTTCCTTTCTTTTCCCTTTGTTCTCTTCTTTTGCCTCTTTCTTTTCTTTTTCTTTCCCTTCCCTTCCTTTCTTTTTCACTCTTCTTTTAATCTCTTCCCTGGCCCTAAGACCCTTTGATTCCTTCCCCCCCCCCCCAATTATAGAAGAATATACACCCCTGATTTGGATGCTCTTTGGAAAACTCATTCGTGAATGTTTTATATCCAAATTGCACTCGAAACTATCCTATTATACCTATAACTGGGCACTAGAGTGGGTATAAATTTCGACAGAAAAGAAAGTGTCACACTACGTTACCTACAAGCATGCAATAGTAACTCCGAAAACGGTAAACACTCCGAAAACGGTGTAAACGCTCCATAAACTGTTTATTCGACAAATGATATGTAATAATTTCATCATTCCTGATGATGACTAAAATCTAGTCGAAACGTCGAATAAACACTTTTCAAAATGTTTACCGTTTTCGGAGTTACTAATGTATTGTATTTAAATTAAAATACCCTGTGGTTCCCGTAATTTCTACACTATGTTACGATCGGTCAAAGTGGAAAGATGCATGACTGCTATTGAGGAGACTTTTTTTTTGACGGAGGACTTCAAGTGTTATTTGATAGCCTCTTCTTACAACTTCGTATTCAAACTTTTTCTTTAACACTCCACCCCAATGTATAATATCCCGCAGTATCATTGCAGTATATTATTGTGATTACAGTATATTATCTCACTACTTAATACGCATCTTCACTCTTTCCATAAGGTTTTTGGAACATATCACTGCATTACCAAGTTATGTTATGGATGATATCCATTTATATTCAATCCGTGACCTTCTAGAGGTAAGTTGCAAACAGCATCGTTGAACTATTTAGAGAGTTCAGATTTGATTTTGATCACTGACTTAGTACGCATTTGATTGGTTAGTCGGAGATATCAAACGCACCTGATTGGTTAGTGGTTCCTTAATGTATGCGGGAGTGGAAGTCAAATCTGAACCTCTCTATATTGTTTATCGTGCTACGGACTGTCACTGATTTCAAAAGTAGGATTGATACAGTGAATCTGCTATGCATAAATGAAGCCTAAGGTGGCCATATTGTGATATTGGCATGATCACCACATATCTACTGTGGTATTACTTTATTTATTTATTATGCTTTGCCAATTTCACACAATCATATCTGCACAAATACAAACACAAGAATATACAAACTATCAATCAACCAATGGCAGGATATATGCTACAGCTTTACGCCAATTACAGCAGCCCTTACAGAACGAACATGACACATTCTACATTGGATCTTTAGTAATATAAAAAGGCCAGTTTGCACCCAGGAAAACCCTCCGCAGGATAGTAACGGAAGGAAAGTTACATAGTGCTAAAGTCGTTAGTTCCAACGCCGTCCGCTCCTGCGGAAAATTTTTCTGAGTGGAAATTAGCCAACAATGGAGCTTAACAAGACCAACACAGAGACACACATTAGAATTAATATAACAACACGAATTTGAACAAGACAAATTACGGGACTTGTTACAAGACAAACATACAGACTTACATGTTCTAGGATTTTCTGCGTCGTAAATGTTCAGAGCCGATTTTTAATATTCATAGAGATCGCTTTTGAAACGACCTAAGCTTATGTTCTTTGTTGTCAACTCTTTTGGCAGAACATTCCATACTCTCGCACACCTGGATATAAACGATCTCTGGAATGTTGCAGTCCTACACTTCGGTGTGGCGGACTTCGAACAGTCTGGGTCAGCTGATCGCGTTGCTCTCTGCCGGATCTGAATTGATGGTAGAATGTTGCCATTGATGTTTATTATCCCATTTACACATTTAAAGTAAAACACCAGATCGAGGAATTCGTGCCAATAGCAGAGCGGAATGAGGTCTAACAGTTCGAGTCTCTTACTATAGCTGACATCGCAGATGAATGGTAGAGCCAAAATAAACTTGCTCGCGCGCCTCTGGATTCTTTCCGTGCGTTTGATCAGTTCCACGGATTGTGGAGCCCAGACTTGAGACGCATAGCATAGTTTTCAGCGTACAAGAGTCAAATACAGAGTACGACGAACCGAGATAGTTTTTATGTCCAGTGTAGATCTCCTTACGTAGGCGAGCATTTTGGTTGATTGAGCACATTGGTCCTCAATATATTTGGACCAAGTCAGATTGGAAGAAGTCCACACTCCCAAATCACGTTCGTGAACAGCGCTTTCCAGAACAGCATCATGTAGCTTGTAGGGATATTCTATTTTGTGGTGTTCTCTCGTTATTCTCGTGACTTTACATTATTACTGACATATTAGAAGACGTTTTTGCCATTTCTGATTGTTGATGAAAAAGGAAACAAAATGATTGGTCATCATTCGCGCTTTTTTCTTTTTTGCCAGTGAATAACTAATGAGATCATAAGTCTTTTCTGATATAAGTCTTTTCCGACATAAGTCTTTTCTGATTTTTTAAAACGTCATAAAATTCTTTATAAAAGAGGTGCGAGAAAGTACCTGTATATACTATACATATCTTATTGAATGGTTTGATCATAAGTTTTTTCCGACATACGTCTTTTCTGTCGTAAGTCTTTTTCGACATAAGTCTTTTCTTATTGAATGGTTCTGATCATAAGTCTTTTCCGACATAAGTCTTTTCCGACATAAGTCTTTTCTGATTTTTTAAAACGTCATAAAATTCTTTATAAAAGAAGTGCGAGAAGGTACCTGTATATACTATACATATCTTATTGAATGGTTTGACATATAATCCGGTCGAATATTTTACGAGTTTCGAACGTATTTTTCCAACCTCTGAAAGGGCGAGGAAAAATGCGAGAAACGATCGTAAAATGCTCGGCAGGATTATATGTTAAACCATTCAATAGGATTATATGACAAACCTGAAAAAATAGATTTCCATGTCTTTTTTGAAAGATTTGCATGCGTTTAGCGCTGTAAACGGTTAAAAATTTTTGATTTTCAGATGCAATGAAAACAAACATCCTGAAACAGGTTACGAATTAGTTGCATACCAAATTAGGAACAACTTGATACTGACGTCATCGTTCTTGAATTTGATTGGATAAAATATCACAAGCAAAGAAAATCGAGTTTCTTAAATTAACCAACTAAATTTTTATCTGCCACAAGTTTTGAGTTGATTATATGAAATATGCCGATTAAAATTTGTTAAAAAGGTGAACTAAGTGAAGAATTTGGCGATTCTGCAAGCGAGAAAAGAAATGAAGTTTAAGGCGCAACAATAACTGAACGCGAGTAACTGTATGAGCCTAATATTTTACGTCCAAACTGTCCAATTACTTCAAAAATTGTCAAGTAGGTTGTCATGATTTGTTTTCGTTGAAAAACTACTTCTTGAAATACATTTGGGAGGTTGAGCTTTTGTTTATAGCATTTTTGGTGCTGTTTTGCTCAACAAATTTAAGAAATAAATACCTCTGATTGCTTTTTTCCTTTTGAAGCTTTATAGCGTTATTTTATTACTGTTTGTTCATAACATTATAATCAAGTCATGAGTCGCCTTTGACCTAGTGTTTCCGTGGTTTGTTTTTCACTCAAAAAAGTCGGATTTTGCTTTGTCCTAACCCAGAAAAACCTGTTTAGACGAGGGCAATACTTTTATCGTGTAATCTGCTCTCAGATTTTTCGTGTCCTCATGACCTTATTTGGTCAAATCACGTCATTGTCATCGTCATATAATAAATATATATACAGGTAACTTCTCGCACCTCTCTTATAAATAATTTTAACACGTTTTAAAAAATCAGATAAGATATATACCTGTATATCACTCCTGGTACTGTACATATGATGCCCGACGTACATTGGTATTGTGTATAATATGATGCTCTATTTTTTTAAGGTTAAAAGCGGTTTATTTCGCGAACGACTTGAAACAGTGGCGAGCAGTTCACTGGATCATGTTTCATCCTGTCAGGTATGAAATTGAATGAGGCATGCAACTGAGGATGTCTTTTTCTTTTCTGAAAGAGTGATGAGTAATTATGTAAATGTATTTGAAAATCTCTTATGTTGTATTTCTATTTTTGGCAGCTGTGCCTGGCCAAAGGATTTTTTTGCGAGTACTGTAAAAATGGTGACGATATAATTTATCCATTTGAAGTGAAAAGATGTAGCCAATGTCCAGGTACCGTTCATTACATTCTTTGAACAATGGGAATGGCTTGTTTAAAGCCCTAGTTCCAACTTTTGCTCGCATTTCACCTCCAACTGTTATTGGCTCTCATGCACTCTCATCAACTTTGAGAGTTTTTGTTCGTTTGACCCGTAATATGGCAGTCACGCAACTGTTGTTCCCGTTTGAGAGAAAACTCTCATGCAAACTCTCGCTTCCCAGCTCTCTGGTCCTTAAGTTCTATTATTATATAAACATAAGTGTTATATAGAGTATTTAAACACACGTAAAAGATACGATATTTTTACGTGTGAAAATATCATTTGTTGTAAAACGCATTGCCACGGACGTTTTATTGTTTTTCACTGAATTTTGTTTATATAGTAAACAGAAAAATACATGGGTGCTTGAAAACACCAGATTTATTTCTCGTGTTGAACATGATATCTCACTCGTTCGCTGCGCTCACTGGTATCATGTTCAACACTCGAAATAAATCTGGTATTTCCGCGCACCCATGTATTATTCTCTATTTATATGATGTTATTATAATTATTGTACATGTTATTTTATAAAAACTGAGTGATAAACATTTTACAGAAAGCTTTTGAGGTCAGTAAAAGCTTATGTAATTTTCCCAACTCCCGCTACTAACTTCCCGGCGAAGGATCTTCGCTCGAAACGTCGAAGTTCTGCCTGTATTTTTCAGGTAGTTGCATCCCCTCCTTATTATTGGCACCACCTATATACACTGGCACAGACCACAAGACAATCGCTCAACCATATTGTTACAAGATCAGTGTCATACCATGCTTTCGCGGCCTTTGTCATCGTATTTATATTAACCCATGCGAAAATCAACAAATAGCAGTAAAAATACCTTGTTTGGTACATTTGCAATGAGTATCAGATAAAAGAAGCAAGAATTCTCGGAGAATCGTTTATATAGGACGGATTACAAAATATCTTTTCCAGATCTATTGATCTGCTTGATCCATAAAATGGCCGTCCCCGGGAATTTGAACCCGTAATATCATATGGCGTGGCACTTGTCATTTAAAGGCAATATTTAACAATTAGACAACGAGGCCGAGTTGTCTATGAGCGAATAGTCAACGAGGCGAAGCCGAGTTGACTATTAGTGCTCATAGACAACGAGGCCGAGTTGTTTAGTATAAACTTTAACATTAATTTACAACTAGGCTGCAAACACAATACAAAAATACACAAAAAAACCCATTATAAAACCATTAAAGGTAAACAAATACTTTAGTTTTTGTTCGCGTAAAATGTTTTACAAAATTCAGTTTTAATTTTAAAATTTCATTTTGAGTTTATGTTATTTTGTCTATTTTCTTACCCTTAAAAATTGCCATTCCATATTTTTGTTGCTTTTTTCGGGATTTTTTAGTACAGAATTGTTCAACAAGTCGTCCAAAAAATCATCAGACACTTCGGCAAAAGTGCAAAACGCGAATTTTCCGCCATTTTGAATTTGCTATATTAGTATGCTATCACTAATAGCCTACTAGTAGCATAGCCAATCAGAAGGCACGATATGTGATAGCCTACTAGTAAGTTTATACTAAATACATATAGTCATATACGCATGTCTGTTTTTCTAGATTGTGGTTCATGCTATCATCGTGAATGCTTCGTGAAAGGAAAATGTCCGAAATGTGAACGATTACTATTAAGGTATTGTTGTTATTATCTTTATATTTAACCAGGATACCCACATCACCGTTTTATTGGTAGTCTTTTGAGGCCCATTTAATTATTTCAGTGGTGAAGAGTTTCATTTTCTTTTTACACAAATGTTACCAACATAGTAAACAATTTTTTGTTATCTATATCCAAAAAGAATACTTCATAACACATTGATATAGCTATAGGGCAATCTGATATTTATTTCGGCAACCTCGTCTTATTCACTTGTATAGCCATTTGGGCGACCAAAAAAAATTAAAGTTTCAACCCCTGGTTCAATTCGTCGAAATAATGATCAGTTCTTTTTGCTATTTTGCAGAAAATCTTTCCTTCTTTCCTTCATAAATACGTTAAAATGTTTCACAACCTTTCGTGACTGATTTCGATAATATTTGTTTATTCTTTATATTTTTAAATTTGCTTCCCACGACCGAAGGCGGCGCCATATTGTTTTGGTCTCATTTCGACATTTCGTATTCATATTTCCTCAGCATGACGTCATAACAACGATATGACGATTTCGCAGTTGGCTGCTAGCCAATCGGAAACCATGATTTAAAAAAAATAATCATACATAATATTATATATAATATAAGAAGAACAGACAAATTTTGCTAATGTTTGTTTATACCCAATTCACAACTTTAGATAACTAACATACTTATATAATTATCATTGTTCTAATGTACAGAAGCATAGGATAGAACAAAGCTTTAGAATTATCTACATTGGTGAATAACTCTGATACATAATTCTGATGCTTATATATAGTTACTTTTGTTCTATTCTATGCTTCTGTAAACTACAACAATAGTAACTAGGCATGCGAGTTATCTAAAGTGAATTGGATATACAGTAGTAAGATTAGAGATCTAGAAGAGTCAGGAGGTATGCGAAATTACGAGAATCCGAAGGAATCAGGAGGTGAAGGCAGTGAAAGGTGAAGAAAAAAAAGAGTTGAAATCGGAGGATAAAGCTAGAGAGTTCTAAAAGTGTACAGCACGTCTGTTCAGTACAAGTAATATGTAATATGTAAGTTTGATAAAAAAACTAGCGTTTTTAAGTTCTTGTTCAAGGCTATTACATATAAAGCTTGGTATTTTGGTCTTTGGTTTTCTTTCTTTATTTTTGCTCTTACCGGGTAGATGTAAGTCTCTGTCTGTTCTTGTGTAGTGATTGTAGATGTTTTGCTCTGATATTTTGCTCAGTGATATATCGAAAAACACAGAAAAGTTCAAGCGCATGCGCAATGAAATATAATAAAATACGTCCCACAATTACAGCGTCTAAGATTTGTAACGTAGTTAAACACGAAAGTCGTTCCGATTGACATTGTGTAGAATTGGTCCTAATAATCGTCGTGAGCATGTTCTAGCTAAAGTGGCGATCCTGAGCCCTCGATGCCGCAATGGAAGGAGAGAAGAGTAATCAACAGTTAGTCTGTTTTTAAAGGAGGAAACGGATGAACTATTACGAATGGTGGGAGAGAGATTATTCCAGAGAAAGATAATTCTGTTGGAAAAAGAGTTCCTAAAAAGAGAAGTCCTGCAATGATTAACATGAAGCAAGTTGTCCGAACTTGAACGGGTGTGAGACGAGCTGTTTGAAGAAAAAGTGACGAAAGAGGAGATATCTAGGTCGTAGCCTGCATGGCAGGCGGTACGTAGGAAATACCGCCTGCCGCAAAACTGGATGTAAATGAACTACCGCCCCTGAAGCATCAACGCTATTTATAGATGCATTAATTAAGTAAATATTCAAAATTAGCCACTCCCAAGCTGCTCCCAAGTCCCAACTGCCCAACAAAAAATAAATTCCTTGATTCTCATCACCGCCCGACTGAATTTTAAAATCCTCGTGAAAACGTTTTATTTTTCGTTATACAATATAAATGTACCGCCCGACAAAATAATTCAAGACAGTTAATTTTTTTATATTTTATATAGGGTTTTTAGTGCCAATTTAAACTTCCAATTTCAAACAAACAGAATTTTGAATGAAATTTCATTGTATTTTAAAGAAACTCAGTCATTCTGTCATTGTTTGTGGAGATACGAACTATTGATATATAAATTATATAAATATAAAATATAAAAAATAAATCTCCCACTGTCTTCGACATTTCAAAGTGTAGACTGTGTCTAGTGATGAGAATCAACGAATTTATTTTATGTGTTAATATAAACCAAGCCCGTTTAGCCGTTTAGCTGCCTTAAAACGGTGGTTTAATAAGCTCAAAATACAAAGCATGCAAGTCTATACTATAGATTCATCATCAGTCAACAACCAAACTGAAAGTATTGAACCCTTATAGAACGATAGTTTTTATTTGTTTACAACTATACATATTCAACGGGTATATAAGAGTTTAAGTGTTATTTGATAATTACTGCATCAACCGGCCCCTTGTTTATACTTTGGAGGTTCGTATATATTAATATCTATCAAGTATCTTTGGTTCAGAACATGACTGATAGGCCTTATATGGAAATCCCACTGTTCGATTCAG